CTCCCACTCCCAGGATATCAGATCCTAGGGAATACATTAATATTTCACATTTCAGGTAACCTCCCCAGTTTCCAGAAAACTCTGCATATGAATGCAGCTCTTTGCAAGGCGAAGAAAGTTCTCAAGGTTTCCCTCCCCCTTTCTTTTTACTCCCTAGAGAATAAAGAGTCCATAACGAGGATGGCATAGTTTTGATTTTGCAACTGTCCCCAAATCGGGCCCCTTTTGATGCACCAAAGTCCAGCGAGGTTAAGAATCTGCCTGTGCTGACAGTAGACTAGAGACCAAACATGATTGCCACTGAATGCCTCTTTTGCAAACCACAACACCCAAAAGGAGAGAGAGAATAAAAGGGAATGCCCTGCCACAGAGGCAGGGTGGGATGGGAGGGATGGGGGGTGGGAGGGATACTGGGATCAGTGGTGGTGGGAAATGGGCACTGGTGGAGGGATGGGTATTTGATCATTGTATAATTGAAACCCAAGCACAAAAATTTGTAAGTCTGCAGCTGTACCTCATGGTGTTTTACTAATAAAAACCAAAAAATAAAACAAAAAACAAAACAAACAAAAAAGAATCTGCCTGTCAGGGGCACCGGAATGATAGTTCAGCAAGGAGGGTGCTGGCCTTGCATGTGGCTGTCCCAGGTTCAATCCCCAGCACCTCACATGGTCCCCTGAGCTCCACCAGGAGTGCTCTCTGAGAGCTAGGAGAAAGCCCTGAGCACTGCTGATCCCCCCATCCTCCGCACCCCCCTAAAAGAATCTGCCTGGGGTCACACAGTTCAAACCTCCCGGGGTCACTGTCCACCGAACACCTTCCCTTGATCCTTGTGCTCGAACCTGGCTTCCTCCTGTGTCGTTGGAGACCCAGCAGTAGCTGGAGGTTGGTGGCATTCACAGGCCACGTGTGACAGTTGCCTCATGGAGACCAACAGGCTGTCCCCAGCTCCTGCCTTCCCCTCCCACCCCCTCTCCACACCAGCACCCATGGGATCACCAGCTCTCCCTTCGGTTCTTGAAGGTTCCTCTCTGCCTGGGGCAGTCTAAACCCCTGAAGCCCAAACTGACCCGCTTCCCCACAGGCTTGGGTCTGGCGTAGGCGGGGATGGAGGACATGAAAACGCAGAGTGGGCGGTGTCCTCTGCAGAGTGGCCTTGTGACATCACAATGCAGGTCGCCACCTGGAGCCGAGCTGCTGACTCGAGAGACTCAGCTTAATCCAGTCTAATCCGGCCCAGGGCCTGGCTCTCGGCTTCTTGGTTTCAGCAGAAATGCTGGCATGTGTAAAGTCCCAGTAGCGCTCCGAAGGGCCAGAGAGAAGGCTTCGATTGATTGATTGATTGATTGATTTGGGGGGTGGGGCTCACAAATGGTGCTCAAGGAACCTGTGGAATTTAGGGATGGGCAGTTCCATCCTGGGGACCACCAGCACCACACCTGGCAGTGTCCCTATGAGGACAGCTGGTGCCAGGAACAAATTTATGTCCTCACACACAGGCCTGCACCCCTGGCCCTGTGCGACCTTTCCTCACCCTAAAAATACACGGTATTAGCCTGCCGAGACCCAGAGGGGTGGTAGTGGGGGTCGGGCAGCTGTCAGGAGGGGTTGGGGGGCTACTGTGAGTATTGGGGACAGACTGGACAGAATCTGCATGTGCTTGACATCGTGGCCTTGGCCTCTGAAGTTCAAAGCCCATGGAAAGTGCTGCTACCTTGCTTACCTCTTGAGCTCACGGTGGCAGAGAGCTGACAGGCTAACCTAGATTTCTGTGCACGCAGGAGGCTTAGGGGGGCACCCGAAGGAGGGGGTCACTGTCAGGGCCATCACACCCCACTCCATGCCGGAAGCGGAGTTTCATAGTTCCGGATATTTTCCAAGCCTGCAGATGCCGGTCAGGTCCATCCGTTCCCCGAAAAATTCAGGGGGCAGGGACTGGTACTCAGTGTCACCTGCTTCCCTCCCTGGGGAAGGATGTAGGGCTCCGAGCTCTGGGAAGTCCCATCCAAAGCTTTTTTTCTTCTCCTGTTTCCCACTTCTTTTCCTGGGCAGAGCCGAGTTTCAAAAGTCGGACAAAGATTCAAGCAGCATCAGGCAGCTCCGAGAAAATCCATTTCTGGAAACTCCCGGGAAGCCAAGAGGACTTTTCCTTCCCTCCAGTAAAAGTGTAAACAGAAAAACAGGATGGTTCATTCATGCAAGAGGGCGAATAATACCCCCCCCCCCCCCCCCCAGGAAGGTCACAACCCAACCTCGACCAGGACCAACAGACCCAGGGTGGCTGGGCACAGCCCCCAGGGAGGAACTGTGCACCGTCAGGCGTGTGCCAATGTGTGGCGTGTGTTCTGCCCATGGGCGACAGGCCAACGATTTCCCGGCTTCCAGGTCACGGGGCTTCTGTGGGCCCTTGCTCTGGAGTTGGGGCTGGCAAGTGCCAAGCCATCCATTCAAGCGTTCACCCAGCACGGAGGCCTCTTGCTAAGCGTTCAGAGAAAGGAATGACACGGCCCTGGAGGCAGCTTGCGGGGAACACCATGTGGCAGCAAGGAGAGCCTGGCTGGGAGCGGGGATGCTATCAGGAGATGGCACCAAATCAGGGAGGGTGTCCGGTGAGCACTCAGAGGTCCCTGGATGTCAGGGAAGATGCTCTGGAGGTGCACATCCTAGAAGGAGGAGTGAAGAGGACGTGCAGGGAAGGAACCAGCATGAAGGCAGGAACCTGCAGGGGCTCAACATCAGGACCTGAAAGTCACCAGGGGTGGGTGAGCTCGGGGATGTTTCAGGGCCAATCAGAAAACTCCCCAAAGCTCAATGACAGTGAGGGGCAGGGAACAGGGCCAATCAGGGAAGGTCAAAGCCCATGTTGCGTCAGTCCAGGACCCTTGAGAGAGGAACCCCATGCTTGGGGCTGTGGGTTCTGGTTCTCGTTCCTGATTCTACCGTACTGAAAAAAATTCTCTTTCCAGCACAGGGCAAAAGGGAAAGAATCTTTAGAGAGTGTGTGGGGTGGTGCTGATCCAGATTTGGTAGACAGTTGGCGCTCAATCGTTGATGCTGGGGGGAGGGTGAGGGTGGTGGTGACAGCCTGTGCCATGTTCCCCCCCAAGACGCCGTGTTCCTGACCAGGAGCAGTGCGTTGGGATGGTGACAAGCGGCCCCTCCCCACAGCTGACATCCAAGGCCTGTGTGACACTTCTGTTCCCGGACCCGCCTCTCCACACAGAAAGGCTGATTCTCTGGGCACTTTGCTCTGGAAGGAAAAGGATTTCAGTCCAACTTGGCCCCCTGGCAATTGGGGAAGTCTCTGAAGTTTTGAAACAAAATGGCTAGGACAGGGAGCACTAGCTCTGCGGAGACAAGGAGCCTGTCCTGTGTGGGAGAAGACCAGCTTAGGGACCAAATCACAGTAGAAATTGCCACCAGCCATCACCCCCAGAGTACCTGCCCAGGCAGCCAGGGGCCCCCCACTGAGGCAGGGGGCCCTCAGGCCTTTCAGAGGAGAAGAGCAGGGGCAGGCAGAGGATGGGGGTCCTGGAAAGACCCCGAGGGAGAGGGGAATGACACCCCACTTTCTGCTGGTTATAATTGCAGGCGCCTTTGCCTTTGTGATTCCGGAAAGTTCCCAGAGTGGTAGTGCCCACAGGCAGCCGTGGCTTGAGCCTGGTGAGGGCCCAGCACCTTGGGGCACCCAGATTAGCCCCCAGTCACCTCTGTTAACCCCTCCATCACTGCTGTCCCTTGCGGGGGCTCCGCAGAGGTGCCCAGCCCCAGATAGGAACCGGCCCCAAAGGGCTGGCTCCCTGCCAATCCCTTCATGATGCAGTTCCTGGTCCCTTAGCTGAGTCCCCCTCAATGGATGACCAAAGGGGGCTCTTATGCCACCAAGGTTGAAAGGGAACAGTAGAGAAGGTTCTGGAATCTCAGCACAGCTATGAGAGTTCTGATGTGGGGTCCCGGGCTGGGGCTGGGGTGGGTGGGGGGGTTGCAGTCTGCTGTGTTTCCTCTTGGATCACCCCCGTCCTAGTCCTAAGCCGGGGTGAGAAGGGGTCAGCAGCCCGCCTATCCCCACCCACAACGGCAGCCTGGGGCAAATTCCGGTTCTCTTGGCCTCACAGGTCACCTGGACTCAGTCTGGGGAGAAGAGGAAGGACTTGGCCTCTGCCAGAGACATTGAGCCCAGAGAGGGAAAGAGAGAGAAAGAGAGAGAGAGAGAAAGCACACTAGACAGACTCGGTCTTCATTGAACATACCATAGCTCAGCACCCCATGAGAACCCCAAATCCTGGTAGCGACTTCTCCCTCCTCCCCACAACCTAGGGACCCCTGGGTGGGGTCTCTGTGGCAAGCCTCCCCCAAATCCATCCTTCTGCCAGCGACCCCGCTGCTCCCCCTAACTCTCTCCACACTGCTCGGCACCCAGCACCCACTCTTAGCCCCCAGGTGCCCCGAGGGGAACGGTGGGGGAGTCCGCGGAGGGTGGGCGCCCAGGATGCCTCCAGCCCCTGGGGGCCGTGTGTCCGTGTCGGAGGGGTGGGGGTTCCCACGGTGGGGTAGGGGGAGCCACGGAGTCCGGGCGACCCGGGAGGGGTGGGAAGAGGAGGGAGGGGCCTCCAGCCCCGCGACGCGACCCTCGGGCTCAGCTCCGCGGGCCCCTCCGCCCCCGCCTTGGCGTCACCGGCGTCCCCCTCCCTCTACACATCACAATCTGGGGAGGGGGTCCGGGTCCCCGCGTCTCATCGCCGCGCCCTTGCGACCCAACAATCCCGGGGGAGTGAGCGAGCGAGCGAGCGAGCGAGCGAGTGGGTGGGTGGGTGGGGGGGCGGGGGAGAGCGCGAGAGCCGAGCGAGAAGCGGCGCAGCCCAGCCCAGCCCCGGGCCCGCCCCGGCCCGCCCCGCGCCCCCGGGGCCCCCGCCCCCCGGCCGGGGCACTGAGCGCGCGGGCGCCCCGCAGCGCGCGCCCCGCCCGGCCCCGCCCGCCGCCGCCGCCGCCGCCGCCGCCGCCGCCCGGCCCGGTGCGTGCGCCGCCCGCCGCCCGCGTCCCCGCCGCCGGCCCGCCGCGCTCCATGGCTGCGCCCGAGTGGGACTGGTTCCAGCGCGAGGAGCTCATCGGCCACATCAGCGACATCCGCGTGCAGAACCTGCAAGGTAGCGAGCGAGCCCGGCACCCGGGGGTCCCGTGGGGGGGTGGGGAGGGGGGCGCTGGCGCCCGCGCCGCTGCCCACCGCCCCCCGGCTGCACCCCTGGCCCGGCCCGGCCCGGCCCGGCCCGGGCGTCCACTTCGGGGAACTTCGCGCGTGGGCTCGCGGGGTGCTGCGGGGCGCCCCCCGCGGCCCGAGTGCATTTGGGGCTGGGGGCGTCGGGTTGGAGGAGGAGGAGGAGCGGGCCGGGGGCGGCGGCGGGAGGGGGGATTTGCAGCGTCCTCGTGGCTGGGTGGGTGGGTGGGTGGATGGATGGGGGGGCTCCCGGTGCCGGCCTGTCCTTTCTGGAGGAGATCCCCCCACACCCACTCACCCACCCAAAAACACCCCCGTTGGGGGCCGCCCCTTCCCCCGAAAGTGCGTGGCGCCGCGTCCACCTGGAGTTCGTTAAGGTGAAAGAGAAACTCCCGCTCCTGGGGAGGTGGGTCGGCCTCTCCAGGGAGGGGTTCGGGGTGGAAACTCAGCCCAGGAAGAGTGCCCGGGGATGGGTGTGTGTGTGTGTTGGGGGGGGGAGAACTGCCCGTCCCCCCGACCCCCACGCCCCTAGAGAAACTGCTGCGTGGGGACCCGAGTGACAGCGCCCGCCTTTTGCCTCTAAGGGCTCTGCCGAGCTGCCCCGCGTTCCACTTCCGGCTCCCGTGTCCCCCACCCCCCGTCCGCACCCCTTATCCCGTGCTCCCAGGGACACCCCGAGGCCCCGGGAGGGAGGCGGAGGGCGCTGTGTCCGCGCGCCGCCGCTGGGTCCAGCAGGTGTCCAGCCCTGGCCACCCGAGCCGACGCGGGGGAGAGGCCGGGGTGGGGGTGGAGCAGTCAAGTTTAAACATTACACCTGGCTGGAGGTTTCCTGGGCACCCACGTGGGTGGGCTCCACCCCTCGGTTGGGCAAGGACAGTGCAAGCCGGAGGTGACTTGCAGTGGGGGCCCCCGGAGACTAGGAGGCGCAGCTAGGTGCTGGCTCCCGGGTGCCCCGTGGCTTCCCTGGGATTTGGGCAAAGGAGGATAAAGTCAGAGACACAGGACCTAAGGCCTTTGGGTGATGCTCCCTCCTGTCCTGTCCCTCCTGTCCCCCCACATCCCGGCCGTCCTGTTTGAGGGTGTGCACTGGTTAGCATCTTTGGGGATGGCATCCGGTCTGTCAGGGCTTATGTGACTGTCCGTGGGTGTTTCATCAGTACACACTAACCGATGCTTGGTGTCACTTTTCCTGTATGTCTCTGAGATCTGTTCCGGCTGTAGAAATGGACTCTCCTGGGTGAAATATGAGCGGCTAATTTATTCCTGGAGCAGTCAGAGAGAAACTTTCACAAGCCTGAGGGCAATGGGAGACGGGTGCCGAAGGTAGGATAGGAGTTTGATAGCTGTGTTTCTCAAATCCCAGCGACCCCACTGGTTCTTCTAGGCAAGGCTTAATTTGAGGGCTTGATAGACTTTCGCTCTTTGAATAATACTTTAAAATGTGTATATATCTGATATATATGACACTTTTTTTTTGGGCTTTTTGGGTCACACCCAGCGATGCTCAGGGGTTACTCCTGGCTCATGCACTCAGGAATTACTCCTGGTGGTGCTCGGGGGACCCTATGGGATGCTGGGAATCGAACCTGGGTTGGCCATGTTGGCTGCGTGCAAGGCAAACGCCCTACCGCTGTGCTATCTCTCCAGCCCCCGATATATATGACTTTTGAGGTGTATGGAAAATGTGCTTTAATTTAATGTGAAAAATTAAATTTTTAATTTAAAAATCTTGGGTGCAAGTCCAATAAATGTTTCCAGGTGGGTACACATGTGACCACACAGATCTGGAAGTAGATTTCGAGGTCTCACCTTTTTTCCCAGTTAGGGTCACCCCCACCCTGCCGTAAGGTAACGACCATTCTGGTCTTTATAACCAAGTTTTGCCTCTAGCACTTCATAGAAAATTCACTCATGGGCCCTAGGAAGTACCAAGCAGTAGAGCACTGACCTAAAGTATGAGGCTCCTAGTACCATGTTCACGCTTCCGAATTGCTGGGGAGACCTTGGCCACCTCTTGACCTCTTAACTGGGGGGGGTGTCATCCCATTTTTTTACAGTACGGTAAGCATTTTCTTGGACTGACTTTACTTGTTCATTGTGTTGGTGTAAATTGGTGTATGTTGGTTGGGGTAAATCATCCGTGTTCTTCTGGTACCAGTAGGTTCTTTTTTTGTTTGTTTGGGGGCATCAGTTGGCAGTGCTCTGGGATCACTCCTGGAGGGGCTTGGGGACCCCTGTGTGGTGCTGGGGATCGAACTGGGGTGAGCCATGTGCCAGGCCAGTGCCTTCCCACTGTGCTGTCTCTCTGGCTCCCACCAGCAGGCGTTTTAAAGAGAGGCTGAGGAGAAGGGACAGGGCATCGATTTGGTCCCCATGAGCACTGCTAGGGTGGTATCTGGCATTGAACTGCCTGGCCTGAGTGGCCCCAAAGCCCCAGGCTGAGCGGTCCCAAAGCCCCCTGAGCACTGCCCCCCAAATATTTTTATCATAAAACTGCATTATTGGGGCCAGGGGTAGAGCACTTGCCCTGAAGAAGTGAGGTTCTGGGTCAGGCACTGAGGTTGGTTCTCAGTACTGCGTGGATCCCGAGCACTGAGCTAAGAGTAGCTCCTGAGCACTGCTGGGTGTGACGCCCCCAAAACAAGAAGTCCCCCCATGAAAGAGCTCCTGTATTACTGCCATGTAATTCATCTGTCATTTGATTGCCCTGTTCTGCCATTTCCGCTTTGGTTATTTGTAGAGAGTTAGAGTACTGTGGCTAGCATAGTCCAGAGAGGGCAAGTTTTCATGACCTGGGAAAAATCCCTGGGCCTGTTGCTGCGGTCAGCTGCTGGCCGTGGTCGTCTGGAATTCCCAGGGCCAGCCCGGCACGTTCCTGGCCCTTGCCAGGATGACCCATTTGTCCAACCCGTGGGTTTATCTGTGAGAGGCACTGGTGGTTTGCAGTGTGTCCCGTGGGGAGGGGATATTTGCTTCCGGTTTCCTGCTTGGCTATGCGATTTCTTGACCCAGTGCTTTTTTTTTGGGGGGGGGGAGGGAGGGTCACACCCAGCGATGCACAGGGGTTACTCCTGGCGGTGTTCCGGGGACCATATGGGATGCTGGGAGTCGAACCTGGGTTGGCCGCATGCAAGGCAAACGCCCTACCTGCTTGCTATCACTTCAGCCCCGATCCAATGCTTTTAACACATGCTTCCTTGAGTCATCTTGGTGACCCCCGAAAAGTGCAGAGGAGATGGTGAGCCTTAGGATGCCTTCCGTGGGGCGTCTGTGGACCCTGGGCCATCGACTGGGTCATCTGTTGCACGGTCACTGCTTGGTGTGGGTCACTGCTTGGTGCTGGTGGTGGCAGTGGAGGTAATGGGTGGGCTTTGAGCTGTGCATCCAAGGTGGTCTGCATGGGGGTGGTGAGGGCTGGGGCCTGGGGCCACAGCAATCCACCTCAGAGGGATGGAAGCTTCCAAGCCTTGGGTCATAGGTGGACACTGCCCACCTGTGCCCCCTTCTTCCCAGAAAGCCTCAGCCCTTGTCCTGGACCAGGGGGTATGGGCCCCCTAGGGGCATAGCCGGGGGGGGGGGGACTCTGCTTCTCCCCATCCTAACCGGATGAAGCTGACCCTGGCCTCAACTCTGGGTTGTGAAGTCAGCTCATGCCCCCTCAAGGCTCCCCCCCCGCCCCCCCCCGATCCTTGGGGTGAGGAGTGAGCCAGGGTGCACACACGCTGGACCCCCGTGGTGTGGGCACCTGGCCGTGATTGAGGACAGGGGAGGCAGCGTCCTTGCTCCTCCAGCAGAGCCTGGAGCTCCCCGGGGGCCGGTTGGAACAGTCATGCTCCCATCCTGGGGTCCCTGGCGAGAAAGGGGTGCCCACACTATCATCCTTCTTAGATGGGGGGCAAACGGAATGGAAGCTGCGGTGCTCCCCTCCCCCTGCCTCTCCATGGAGCCCATGGGGAAGCCCCAGCTGGGGTGGGGGGGGCCCTGCCCTTGTTCTCTGCTCGCCCGTGGGTGGCGGTGGCGCCGGTCTCTGCTCACCGGGCCACTGCGGCTGCCCTCTCTCCCTCTCTGCCTTGACCTCAGCGTCTGGCCAAACAATGCCCCATTTTCCTGGGGCTTGGAGGGTGTCACTGGGTAATGGAGCAAAGGCGGTGAGGGGCTGAAGTCTGAAGGCCTGCCCTTCCCGGCCGGGCCCTGTGCTGGGGAAGTTGTGTTGCTTCACAGGCCTGTAGCCCCGCTAGGGGCTCTGCTGGATGGGTTTGGGGGGGATAGGCCAAAGGTAATGCTCCCTGCTCGGTGCCCTGAGCGGCACCTGCAGCCGCTGATGGGGTTTCCCCCAGGCAGGGTTGGCCTGGAGCTGTGACCCGGGCCACTGGAGGTTGAGGTACTTCAAGGACTGCCGGGTGGTCAGCCTGGTGTCCTGCTAGCGGTAGGTACATGTCATGGGGGCGAGTGAAGGGGGTACACCCACGGCCGAGGGGCTCGCATGGGGTCCCGACATAAGCACCATCCAGGCCAGCTTTTCCTGATTCTCACCCAAACTGTGCTCTGTGTGTGTGTGTGTGTGTGTGTGTGTGTGTGTGTGTCCTCACACAGCTGAGACATGCCCGCTGGCCCTTGGCCGTGACCTCCCATGGCTCCAGGCCAGGGGACACCTGTTCCATTGCTCTGACTGCCTGGCCACCACCTGTGTCCCTTCCCATCCCTTCACTGCCTATCTGTGGCCAACGGGCATCTCCGTACTGGAAGGCGTGCATGTCCTCCTGCAGAGGCGTCCGGCATCTGTGTCAGGCGCCCGAGGCTGCCACTGGAGGCCCTGACTGGCCCAGTTCAGGCTGCTACAGCGACTGCCCCTCTCACAGTTGTGTCCTGTAGCCCGGGTGCCTCAGTCCCCTTCTCGGGGCACGTGAGCTACAGGGGGCTTTTGTGTGTATT